AGATTGGTTGAAAGACTCATTTATCTCTCACATACCGACCAGATATAGCATATGCAGTTAACTTGGTGAGTCAGTACATGCATGATATTCGCGAAACTCATTTACAAGTCGTTTTTGTAATATTATGATATCTGAAATCTGTACCATGAATAGGTTTACTCTTCTCCAAAAATAACCACCTTAAGATAAAAACATTTACAGATAGTGATTAGACTGGATCTTTATATGATAAAAAGTTAACTATCAGTTACTATACACTCGTTGGAGGCAACTTGGTTACATGAAAAAATAAGAAACGAGTGTAGTTGCCCATTCTAGTGCTAAAACAGAATATAAAATCAAGGGGTATGTGAATTATTATGGTTGCAAAAACTAATGAAGGAATTAAAATTGTTTAAAGAAAATCTATCATTGTTTTGCGACAATAAAATAGCCATTAGTGTTATTCAAAATCCCGTTCAACATGATTGGATGAAACATATTGAAATCGACCGTCACTTCATAAAAAAGAAAGCAGTTGATGACTCCTTATACTTGTATCATGTGTCTTTTAACAATCAGGTGACAGATATATTCACTAAAAAACTTTGCAATAAAATTCTTCAGAACTTTATATGCAAGTTGAGCATGTGCAATATCTTTACACCAACTTGAGGGGGAGTGTTGACATAAATATTTTATTTTCTAAATATTATGCTAGTTTTCTATATAGCTTTTACAATTAATTTCTCATGTAATGTTGTAATTATTTAGAATACTTATTATAAGGGTAATTTCCCTATTTGTACTTCAGAATTTTGTATATATATATGTGGCGTTTATAACACCATTGTAGTGAAAAATAAAATAAATATTTTTTCCCAAATTTCTACAATAAGCAATGCAAAGGCAGTTTGAAAAGCATAATAAGGATATAGACAATATGAAAGGTGATATAAATAGCCTTCAAGGCAGGCAAGGTGGTCCTAATCAAAAAAGGCAAAACAGGGAAAGAAGAAATATGTTGAATGATAACGAGATAGAAAAGGAAGTAGATGAAGATAGTAAAGAGTCAACGATACAAAGAAGACTCAAAAGGAGGGACAACAACATTAGTTCTATCAAGATGAAGATTTCTTCTTTTCAATATAGAAATGATGCTGAAACTTACCTAGAATGGAAACAAAAAGTTGAGTTGATATTTGAATGTCATAACTACTTTAAGGAGAAGAAGGTGAAGTTGGCAACCGTTGAATTTACTAATTATGCCTTGATTTGGTGGAATCAGTTGCTCATCTCTCGGAGACGTAATAGAAAAGCACCCATCACCACCTGAACTTAAATGAAAACCATCATAAAGAAAATGTTTGTTTCATCATTTTACTACAGAAAGCTCCATCATAAATTGCAAAGGTCTTGAGGGTCTAAATCAGTTGAAGATTATCACAAAGAAATGGAGATAACTACAATTCAAGTAAATATTGATGAGGATAGAGAAGCTACCATAGCACAATTTTTAAGTGGCTTGAATAGAGAAGTTGCCAATACGGTTGAATTACATCACTATGTTGAGTTGGAGGAGATGGTTAATATGGCCATGAAAGTAGAAAGACAAATGAAAAGTAAGGGAACAACAAGGTCATATTCTAGTTCTAATAACAATTGGAATCCAAAGTGGCCTATGAAAGAGGAGAACGTCAAGGAGAAGAGCTTTGCTTCCAAGGAGAAAGGTATAAATCTCAACAAAGACAAATATAAAAGGCATCTTATCATCTATTAAAGGTACTTTTGATCCACATCTATTAATAAACATAAAAATATTAAATGTTTCAGATGTTTGGGAGTGGGAAATATTGCTTCACATGTCCAAATAA